CACGTTGCTTGAGATGGAGTGCACAAGTGGTGGAGAGGTGCGGATGTTGAAATGCTGAAGCACGGGATTCAAAGGGCAGTGGTGTCACGTTTGTGAGGTGCTCCATTGGCTTTGATTCACGGCCTGGGAAATTGCTCAAGCAGTGATTGTTTTTATTCATTTTGTTGATTAAGGAGAGCATATGAGTCACGTGAAATGGTAGAAAAAATTTATCTTTTCTTTTATTTCTTTTGCCTTGGAATATTTTATATTGTATGATTAAATGCTTTTCTTCTTTTTGGTGGTGAATGTGTAGGATAGATGACAATATTGTGCATTTAATGTTTTAGTGTAACTGTTGCAATTTTACAGCTTGAATTGTGTTTGGATATTTTTTTTGTTGTAGTTTCCATTTTAATGCTTTTATTTATATTCGGTTGTGTTTAATTTTCATTTTTTTAGTTCAATTGCATCCACAAAAACATTTTCAAAACCCCCCCCACTGCGTGTTTGACCTGAGACTTGAACACAATTTGGTCCTTGAGAGACGACCTAGGAGTCACTTCCTAGTACTATACTGCATTCTTTTATGCACAACTTTTGTGAGAGGTGCGACCCTCTCAACACCAACCTTGTCAGGTTCTAATGGCTTCTCATTATAAAAATAAAATATTGAATATTTTTTTAACACATATCTTGTAAATGAAAATATCTTGCACAGGAAAAAGTTCCAAAGAGAACTCCTAGCGTTTACTGCTTAACGTAGGAAAAAGTTCCAAAGAGAACTCCTAGTGTGTACCGCTCAACTTAGGCAAAAGTTCCAAAGAGAACTCCTAGAGTCCATTGATAACGGTTGAAAATACTGTTATCTGTGATTGAATTTTGATAATAAATGAACCCTTATTAACTTAGAAACTTGCTTATTCTCTTGTTTTTAGCTTATTTTGATGAGTAAGAGAGTTGAGGTTATAATTGAGGATTTTATTACTAAATTCCCTCGATTTTGTAGGAAACTGTGATGAATTGGAAGAGGAGTTAAATTGTCAAGAAGTTGGAACTCAGTAAGGACAGAAAGAGCACTAGAAGAGAAGGCTGTAGAAGGTCGCAACCACGTCTAGGTGCCCTTTTCTGGGCCCTCAACGCTGGAGGTCTCGCACCTACGCATGAGCGCCCTTTAAGAGACATTAAGCGCCAATCTTCAAGTACCTCACGCGTGGGCGCCCTTCCTGGGGCGCTGAGCGCCACTCGTCCCGCAAGCTCGCTTGGGCGCCCTAAGTAGGGGCGCTGAGCAGTGTCAACATTGGCCCATGATCCAATTCAGCTGTATATAAGGACTTGGACGTTTTAGAGGGAGTATCTTTTGATAGAATTGACAAAAATTCATATTTTGCGAACTCTCTAGAGGCAGAAGTGGATGCAGAAGCTCTCATCTTCAGTTTTTAGGGTTTATCTTTGATTCTCATTCCATTGTTCATCTAGTTTCTCCATGACAACCGGGAACTAAATTCAATTTGTTGTTGGGGGAGGATGGAACCTTGTGAACTCTCATGAATTTGAATTGGTTTTAATTGATATATGCTTCTTTCATTAATTGTTACGGTTATTCTTCTTTGCTCTATGCTTGTTATGTTTAACTCATTCATGACATGATTATTGGTTTTCATGATATGGACACATACGGAGAAACCTAGATTTGAGGAATTTCTCCCAAGGGAACTATATCCTAGACATAGGGATAAAACACTTGGTTATCTTAAGCTTCTAACCATAATGAAAAATTAATTATTAAGGATACAAGACAATGTGATCTAATAATTAAGGATAAGCTTTCTTCGCCAAGACATCGAGTTTTAAGTAATTTAGAAAGTGATATTAACATTAATGAAGAAGATGAATTCATATATGCATGAATGTAAACTAGGTGAAATCTAAACCCCAACAACATACCCCACTCATAATTTCAATATCATTCATTCGCCTTTGTGTTTTTCTTCAATTGATCAAAAGTGCATTCATATTTATTTTCTTGTTCTTGCATTCAAAACCCTAAATTGTTCTTAAAAGTCTTAATTAGTTAAGTAATTACACGACTCTTTAGTGCCATGAGTCTCTTGGGAAACGATACTTAGTCTTACCAATTATTATTACTTGATAGGATTCGGTACACTTGCCGATGTCTTAACAAGTTTTTGGCGCCGTTGTTGGGGACTCATGGTTTAAACTATACTTTTGTGTGATTCTTAATCGATTAGACTTTGTCTTTAATTTTATCTTTGGGTTTTAATTTTGTTTTTTTATCTGTTGGTGCTAATTGGGTGCTCTAGTGTTTTGTTATCTAGTGTATGCAGGGTACAATTCAGACTAGAAGCACGAAAGGTTCTGAACCTCTTTTTCCAAGTCTCGGCACTAGTAGAAGAAAAAGGAGAAACATGACGTCCAGAGAAATTTTGCCTTCTCCTAAGACTCTTTTACAGCCTTCACCTCAAAGATCTCACCAGGAAACACAAAATATGGCTGAAGAGCAGAATGGTAGACGTACCCTGGCAGATTATGGAACAATTATTGACCCTCATCATTTTAATAGCATTGCAAGACCGAGGGTTATTGATGCAAATATGGAGATGAAGTCTGCTTGGATTCAATTGGTGAAGAACAACCATTTCAATGGATTATCACATGAAAATCCATATGAGCATCTAACCACATTCAATGAGATATCTGTGAAGATCAATGGGGTGCCAGATGTAGCTATTAGACTAAGCTTGTTTCCTTTCTCTTTGGGAGGTAATGCTAAGAAGTGGTTGAACTCTTTTCTACAAAATAGTTTTACTGAGTGGGAAGCCGTGGTTGCAAAGTTTCTAAACAAATACTTCCCACAATCAAAGGTGAACAAAGGGAAGCATGAAATTTCTTCTTTCAGGCAGGGCATGGATGAAACATTAGGTCAAGCGTGGGACCGATTTAAAGGCTTGTTGAGAAATATGGCCACTCATGGCTTTGATGATCCTACAATATTCATTCTATTCCTTGGAGATTTAAGCTCACAGACTAAATTGATGCTAGATTCCTCAATTGGAGGTAATATCAAGTGCAAGACTCTAGAGGAAGCCTATGAGTTGATTGAAAATATGGCTATTAATGATAATGTGATGCATAGTGAAAGAACTCAACTGCAACAAAAAGGGGTTCTACAATTACAATCTGAAGATGCTCTGTTGGCACATAATAAGATTATGACTCAACAATTGGAGGCTCTGATGAGGAAAATCTCTCAATTGCCAAAGGAGTTGCAAAATGTTTCTCAAGTTCAACAACAACTTTGTGAGTTGTATGGTGGAGATCATATTAATGGTCACTGTGTTATGCCAGAAGTTACCCAAGAGGAAGTCAAGTTTATGGGTCAAGGTAATCAGTTTTGTCCAAGTAATTACAACCAAGGATGGAAACCTCACCCAAGTATGAGTCAAGGACAAGATGGGCAATTCAATAGACCACAACAACAACAATGGCAACAACAACCCTCCTTATATGAAAGAACTGCAAAGCTATAAGCGACACTCCAACAATTCATTCAAGTGTCTATCTCCAATCATAAGAGCACTGAAGCTGCTATAAGGAATTTGGAGATACAGGTTGGCCAACTGGCTAAAAAGTTGGAGGAGAAATCTGAAAAGTAGTTTAGGGCTAATACTGAAATTAAACCTAAAGAAGAGTGTAATGCTATCATGAACATAAGTAGTGAGAGGTTGGAATAGAGAAAAATTGAGAGAAAAGAAAAAGATGAGTTTAGTGAAAAAGAAGAAGAAAGTGAAAAGAGAAAAAGTGAGGTTGAGAGGAAGGAAAAGAAGAAAGAAAAAGGGAGAAAGAAAAGAAGAAAAAGAGGGCGAGAAAAAAAGAGAGAAAAATTGAGAAAGCTCTTCCTTACCCTAAAGACTATTCTAGAAAGGAAAAAGAGACAATTAAGGTGTTTTAAGGAGATGTTCAAGAAATTAGGGATTACTATTCCATTGACTGAGGCATTACACCAAATCCCTGCGTATGCAAAATTTTTGAAGAAGTCCCTCAAAAAGAAGAAATATTTAGATGAGGGAACAATTGAAGTACAGGGAAATTGTAATGCGATTTTGCAGAAGACACTTCCTCTTAAAGTCAAAGATCCGGGAAGTTTTACTATTCGTTGCACTATTGGGAATTGTGATGTAGGGAAAGCTCTAATAGATTTAGGGGCTAGCATCAATTTGATGCCCTTATCTGTGATAAAGAAGATTGGTGATCTTGAGGTTAAATCTACTAAGATGGTGTTGCAAATGGCGGATAGATCTACCAAGAATGGCTATGGTGTAGTGGAAGATGTTGTGGTCCAAGTTGAAAAACTTAAATTCCCAATGGATTTTGTAGTGATGGAGATGGGGGAAGATCTAAAGATTCCTATCATTCTTGGAAGGACATTCATGAAGATGATGACAAATTTATGAACACCGAAAAACGGCGCCACAAACTTGTTTAACAATCGGCAAGTGTGACCGAATCGTATCAAGTAATAAAACTCGGTAAGACCAAGTATCGTTCTCCCAAAGGACTCACGGCCTAGTTAGCTATATGATTT